AAGCTACAGGCACTCCCTTAGCCAGCTACACATCCCCACAGGGTTGGTCACGGTTTCGTTAGAGGATATCTTTCTAATCAGACTGCTTATTTTCCGACATTTGGATGTGATCACCAGTGTATGTTTATAAATGTTTACGTCTCCTACCTGAAGGCAGTCGGTCTCACAGCTTTATTTCTGCAAAGATGGCCCCCCTGTGTTGTGACTGGGAGAGAAGAGTGTGAATACAGAGCTGGGTGTTTGCTAATGCGGTGTGTGAGAATACACACAGTGTTCGTGTTGTGTTGTGTTGTGTTGTGTAACACCATCCTGATGCAGACTAGAATAGACAAGCAGCAGGCTCAGAGATTCGGGGGGGGCTTCTGCTCAGTTTCGTCTCAGGGATGCAAACGCATTAGCAAAGTTTCTTTCACAAGATTATATTAGCACATTGTAGATGAAGCAGAACTGATCTATTAAATTTAGAGGAACTCGCCTCATATTATATACAACCCGACAGGTTTTCGGGCAACTTCTGATTATACTCGGGCACGAAAATGTAAACTGCGCGCTTCGTCTGATTGGTCAGTGCTTTCTGCAAGGTCACAGCAGCATTAAATGTGTGGAGACAGGGCTGTGCGCTCGCCTACATGCATGTAATATGCATATCCTCGTGTCTGGGACTTCCTCCCTAGTCAAGCCTGTTTGCGTATTTTGGCTGGATCATGGATTTGGAAACTAATCGTTAGCCATCCTTCTAACCATGACTGACATAGCTGCTGTCCACCCAAGATACTCTTATGTTTTCTTGTTAAAGCGTTGTTTTAAATGTTCAAAAATGTCACTGAATTCCACATAAATGGCTAAATATGTATTATAGTTTTTGAGATGTGTCACACAGATGTGTTTGCTCCCTTCTTTACCTCTTTAGCTCAGTACTTTGCCAGCACCATGATGATCGTGGGGCTGTCTGTGGTGGTGACCGTCCTGGTTCTTCAGTTCCACCACCACGATCCTCGCGGAGGGAAGATGCCTAAATGGGTAGGTTTTTACCATTTCTGGAAGAATATTTAAAAAAAAATGATGCATTTACTGTCATCTGAATACCAGGCAGATCTGAAAAGGTCCATCTTATTAAGTAGTTATAGCTTTTCAGCTAGTCCTGAAACAATAAACAGATGCTCCTTTTTAACAGCACCAGCCTCAAATTAGATCTTTTAATGACTTTTTCTCTATTCTCATTAGGTTTACGCAAACAATCAGGACAAGGGAAGTGTTAATAGAAATTGGGATTGATGCTTCTAAATTACATCTATGAAAAGTGAGGAGAGAGCAGGAAGTCCATGATGAGATTGATTAGTTTCTAAGACTGACTTTTCCTTAACCCTATAATGCCAAATGTGTCATATTTGATCCGGTTTCTGAAGTCTTTTGGATCTGAGACTTTTTGCATCATTCAGTGGTAAAAGCTTTGCTCAAACCCCTGTTGAACACATTCAGATATACCTGATAACAGCCAGTAGAAGACTACACCAACATATATGTTTGACTTATTGCACGCTAATTTCATCAAAATAATTAGTTTTTTTTCTTCATATGTTGTTGAGGGGCCAAAGAAAGACTTCAGACTAAAAAAATCCAATATTCTTCCTATTTTTCTTGGATCGGGCTTTAAAGGGTTAAAATAAAAATCTGAGCCCTTTAAATTTAAATATTCACTAATTGCTCAGTTATACATGGCATCGGCCTTTTAAAAAAAAACATATTTTTACAAACAAGCATATTTTGTTTGAAAGCTTCAAGAGAATAATACATTCTGAATGTCATTTTAAGAAGAGCATGTCAACACGTTGTGAGAAATCCTCCCAATGCTTTTAGAGTCTTTCTTAACGTCGGTTGCTTCAGTAAATGCTAAAAGCAGGATAGACACATAAAGTTTCTCCACACAGATAAGTTAAAACTCTGTTTAGAAATAGCTTTAGAATATAATGATAGACCCGTCCAGGGGGACCCCGCCTTTTGCACATTGAACACTGGGATAGGCTCCAGTTCTCCTAATATTAAGTGGAAATGATAATGGATGGATGGATGGAATATAATGATAGGAAAAACATGTCTAACCCTGTGTTTGTTTAAATCGTGCTATATAAATAAAGCTGGATTGGATTGGATTGGAAACTTTTTGATTGTAGGCTAAACTTATTTGACTTTCCGGGTCTTTTTCTCAGGTGCGAGTTCTCAGTTCTCCTAATAATAAGTGGAAATGATAATGGATGGATGGGAAAATGAAAAACATGTCTAAGGTTAAACTTTTTGATTGACATCTACGGTCTTATTTGACTTTCCGGGTCTTTTTCCCTCCCCCTGACCACGTGCGAGTCAATAAAGGTGGATTGGATTGGATTGGAAACTTGTTGATTGTAGGCTAAACTCATTTGACTTTCCGGGTCTTTTTCTCAGGTGCGAGTCATTCTCCTCAACTGGATCGCTTGGTTCCTGCGCATGAAAAAGCCCGGGGAGGAAAGTAAAACATCCGGGAGCTCGAACTGCCCGCCGAACTACAAGTACTCCCACTCCCCCACCCACACCAGCACCAGCAGCATCCAGATGAACGCCATCCCGGGGCAGGCCTCAACTCAGACCTCCACCACCACTAACGGCAACATGAACCTGTACTTCAGCTACCACTCCATGGGCACGGACAACCCGGCCTTCCCCCCCAACGTGGACTCCTCGGGGGGGCTGATGCTGTGTGGGAATACCAGTGGAGGTGGAGGTGGTGGAAATGGAAACCAGCCGGACGTTCAGACGCGGACGTTTGTGCTGGAGCACGTGCCGGAGATCTCGCGCATCCTGGAGGAGGTGCAGTTCATCGCCAACCGCTTCCGGGAGCAGGACCAGGGCGAGGAGGTCTGCAGCGAGTGGAAGTTCGCGGCGGCCGTGGTGGACCGCCTGTGCCTGGTGGCCTTCTCGCTCTTCTCCATCGTCTGCACCTTCACCATCCTCATGTCGGCGCCGAATTTTATCGAGGCAGTGTCCAAGGACTTCACATAAAACCTGATGTAATTCCTCTATCTCCATCTCCGACAGGCGAACGAGAAGCCACAGTAACGTTAAAGGAGACATATTCTGCAAAACCAATTTTTTTTTAATCATTTGATTATGTACATTTGGGACTGTGGAGGGCCTATCAGCAGGCAAAGTGTGAAAAGAAATGACTGGGTCATGTTTTTGTGGGCCGCCTCAGTCTGAATCCAGGAGATAAATCAGGAGGTTTCAGGAGTGGGTAGTTTCTGACGTCATTAGCTCTAGCTCATTATAATATTCCAGCCTTTCACCTGCATGTTGCCCCCCCCCTCAGCTTACTCCCCTATCTGTGGAGACGTCCTGGTAGCGTGAGCGTTAGCATGGTAGCGTTAGCATGGTAGCGTTAGCACGGTAGCGTTAGCACGGTAGCGTTAGCACGGTAGCGTTAGCGTGGTAGCGTTAGCGTGCTGACGTGGGCACACCTCCCTGAAGAAGTGGGTGGATTGCCTGTGTCTCATTTGCATTTAAAGAGACAGGCACTCCAAAGCGAGCGCTCTGAACGGGGCTGTTTTGGGTTAGGGTTAGGGTTAGGGTTAGGGTTAGGGTTAGAGTTAGGCAGGGGGACTGAACTGCTATTGGGCTTCATCCTTATGGGATTTAACCAAAGCTTGTCACAGACATTACATTAGGACACCAGGGAACTAGCTTAACTTGTTGAAATAGGGTATGATATGTGTCCTTTAACTAGTGCTCTATAAAGTCCATTGAAGTTACGCAGAACTAGAAAAAAGGAAAATCGTAAGAACCAAACATCTTTTCACCGTTGAATCGATCAGCATCCGTTTTTTATTCTAACAGAGAGAAATATTTTAGTTCTTTTCTCTGGGACCGTTAGCAGGTTTTCGTGTTCTCTCTTAGAAGTGTACCTATACACTGGCATTATTGGACACATAGAAGTTTGGTAACAAAAATGAATAAATAAAGAGGTTTTGGGTAATCACAGACATTACATTAGGGACACCAGGGAAC